TTGATTCACGTGTGTGTGTGTGTCCTTTGAATATTTTCATTTGTTTTGTTTTTTTTTGTCTCTCTCTTGTTGTTAGGACTCATACACGATGCCGCTCACCTCCATCCAGTGCTGGCACGTCCACTGTGAAGAATGCTGGCTCAGGACTCTGGTACGTACACACTTCTCCTCAGACACACACACACACACACACACACACACACACACACACCTCCTTCCGTCCTGCCGTCCTGCAGGCCTGCCTCTCGTGGCATGCACTTATTGCAGCCTCATTTCATAGTCAGTGAATTTCTCTCTTTAGCCGTGTCCCGTAGGGAGAATCTAAAATGGGAATATTCCTCAAATGACCTGTTCTCCTACTACACACACACTTACACACACACTTACCCACAGACGCACACAGTCAAGGCCGTGCAAACACCTCCAGTTCTCTGCAGGGAAAGTTTAGATTGAATGGTCCCCAAAAGGCTCGTTAAAAGAATTGGAATAAAGTGGTCAACTCCAGCCTTGGATGAGTTCTACACAGCGCCGCAGGCCTGCACACACACACACACACACACACACACACACACACACACACACACACACACACACTCACACTACACACAAGTAGTGGTTTTGTTGGTTATTAGTTAGTCTAATATATTCAGCAGTGTGTAATTAGCTGGTGATAATGTGGTAAATGGAGCGCAGTGTTTCTGCTGCGGGGAGGATAAACGGTCTCATGGTTGGCTCTCTTTGATGTCTTAACTTTCTGTCTTTCCTTTACCTCTCACTGTTCCTTCTCCTTTATTTACTTTAGTCCTTTCTAGGGTTGTTCACGCTCACCTCAGTGGTTTTCTCTATGAAACCCCATCAGTTTTGACATCACCATTTGCTTACAAAAATTTTACCACACCTAGCTCCCTTTCATATTACACTTGCTAATATAAATATGCAACATCTAAGCATAGCAAAAGGGTGTCCCCTTTGTAACATGCTTTACTCTATAAGTAAACGTTAGCAGAGCTAGCACCACCAGTCTTTGTTCCCTCTTGCATGTCAACATCCACATGCCTTGGTCGAGTTGTTCTATACCAATTGAACCTGTTCCAGCTGCTCCCAAGAGATGCAATCTGTCCACTGTGCTGGTTTACATCCTCGTAGTAGAGCTACAGCCCCGGCTAGTGGCAGGTGGCTGCGCTACATCTTAGACACAACATTTAACCAGCACTGTGGGCCTACATTAAAAAAAAATATGAATAATTCGTTTGAGCATTCTGTTTCTGGTGCCAACTAGTGAGGGTTGAATCATTTAGTTCACACATATTGACAGGACCAGACGTAAACACACAAGAGGTGCAGAAAGACACAAAGGACTGTGAACAGTTAAAGTTCCTAGTTCATGAAATCTTTACAAGAACATTTTTGCATTAACCAGCTTGTGCATAGTTTTGTACGGTTTCTCTGTTCTCTCTGTAGTTTCTTGAAATGGATAGTGTTGGGACTAAAAGGAAGCTCAAAGGCTACAACATGTGTTAGTCTTTTAGAATGAAAATCTAAAAAGCGCCAAAGTATTATAAGAAAAATGTTTATTTGCTTTAAAAATGAGCTAATAATCAACATGATGACGTGTTTTTTTTAGTTCTAGAAATACTTTTCTATAGATTGAGGGTACTTTTCGAGAACACCCATCAGAAACATGACTCAGTATTAAGATGTTAAGAGCCCTTGTAACCGAGTCCTTTATTGACCCTGTTTTTATTTACATCCTGAGCAGAGATTAGGAGAACCAGTTTTGGATGAAATAAATAGAGCATATTGATCAAACATGTACCTGATGGCTGATTTATATGTTTTGCAAAGGAAATGAAGATTTAGACAGCACATGTAAAGATCGCTGCCCTCATTCATGTTTAATTGGACATTAAGATGTGGCTAATGATCGTGTTGAACATGTGTTTAGTGTAAGATCGATGCTGATTCATGAAGATCCTCATGTGGCTACAAACTAAACGGTCTCTGCATGTTTAAGTCATGACTTTTAGGGTTTTAAGGGAGACTGTAAGGAAACAGTCTTAAGCGAGGTCCACTGTTTCCACCATCCATGTGCCTGATGACTGGATGTGTGTGTGTGTGTGTTTCGGTGTGTGTGAGCCGTGCATGCTGCCGTAGCCGCTCTAATGTATGGGGCATTAAAGTCGTAGCCTGGAGACAGCTGTAAAACAGGCAGGGCCAGGCTGATCAAAGTAAATGCCTGTGAATCTAGTTAACGTCAGCCCGGCCCTTCGCCGCTTTAATGAGCGAGGCAGCTGGAGCGCAGCGTGACAGGCACACACCCACACACACTTAGCGGCCACACCAAGCAGGAGTACACATCTCCAACAGGCTGCAAACAAACAAGAGGCAGGCTCCGTCGCACAGTGCCTGAATGAAAATCACTTTCAGAGACACAGACATCATGGAGCGTTATGATCATTTGACAGGTGTTGTAATATCAGGGAGTCGTTTTAAGTTTTAGTTAGAGATGAATTTCAACCACACATCCTCCCTTTTTTCACCTTCTTCACTTTTTTTCTTGCTCTCTCCCTCCACCTTTTCTTCTCTCTATCCTCTTGAGACATAAAGAGACTGCTTTGAGTAGTGTGGAGCCACAAATCCTCTTAGCAGGAGTGTGTGACATCTGTCAGAGTCTTGTACCAGCTCAGTCCTCTTCAGTGTGTGCGTGCTCACCTCAGCCTATGAACCCACTGCCAAGAGTTTCTGCAGTGGCTTACAGGAACAGAAGCCTATAAATCTTTGGGGGGTCAGAGGAACCTGTTCATTTAAAGCTGGCAGACTGGATTTGGACGGTCCTACAGGTACTTCAGGTATGGCATCTGTGCATTCTGTCGTGCCTGTGTGAGATGTCACACTAACGATGTTTCTGTGGAGTAGATGCACGTTGTTATACACACCATCTGCACACATGACAGTAGACCGATAGAAGTCTACATACCACAGAGATACTTTTCAGATCGGCGGTAGGAGGTCAGTTTTGTTGACGACACATGTCCAACGGGTCATTTTTCACAGAGGTGAAACATGTAGAATCACTTTTTTCTATGCCTTTATGTAGAGACAGGACAGTGGATAGAGTCAGAAACTAGAGAGAGAGAGAGAGAAGGGAGTGACATGTAGGAAAGGAGCTACAGGTCAGATTTGAACCTGGGTCGCGTGCCTTAATTACTCAGTTACCAGCGCCAATTGAGCCGTCCTTTTTTATCACTCCTGAAGTCTGCGTTGAGGTGATGTTGAATACAGAAGGCTCAAACACACTGACGGCCCGGTGCGTGTGGATTCAACCACCATGGCCAATCTACGCATCTGTCAGACCATGTAGGAAAAAAAACCTGTTTAAACTTAACCTCACAGTTTTAAAAAGCATTTGATATTTCTCAGTTGAAACAATTGACATGTTGTCTCTGCTTTCCATAAATACAGGGTTTTAATGTTTAACAACAACATTTTACAAAATGTCACATCTTCTTCGGAAATGGAGTTGTAGGAGCAAAAACAAGTCAGTTATTTTTCTGACGTAGTTTCAGCATCCTGTACAAAAAAAAAGAAGCGATCTCGGCAGTTTCCTTTTCTAGTTAACTCCAGATGTTCCATCTTCCTCACACAATCTGTTTAAACTCATTCATACATCTGTTACCGATACAGAAACAGCACAGACAGTGAATTCTGTCGGCTGGAATGTGCCAGCACTTGCAACTAAAGGAGGAACAAGCTGAGCGATGTAAGCAGTCGGAGAGGTGGAGGACAGCAGCAAAGAGACCACCCAGCCCGAGTGTTGTTTCACTGTCAGACCTGTGCTGCATATTATCACCTGCTGCTTTACTGGAGATGGCACACTATCAAAGCAGTGCACAGAGAGAGGGGGCTGAAGGACTGTGAGATGGTGCTCCGCTGCAAACAGGCTGCTTTGCATTCAGAGAGAGAGAGAGAGGAAGTAGTAGTTGTTACAGGACCTGTTTTGGCTCACCTGTCAAGCACTTGCACACTCTCAGGAGACACACAGTGTAATACACATGCAGCAGCCATACTGCACAGGAGTACGAGTGGTCAGCACCATGAAGTCTGTGTCGTTTTAAATGTTTCTTTGGTCAGGAGGAAGAGTGTTTAATCAAGATGGATGAATCAAATCTTAGTGCAATATTAAAATGTTCAAAATGTAATTGATATGATTTCATGTCATGTAAAACAGTGTTAACATTTCTGAAGTTCTTTAATAGTAACAAAATGAAAAATGACATCCTCTTTTCTCTTGCCCTTTTTTTTTTATCATTTTGAGAATTGTTTATTTCTAAATTCAATGTCAAATATCTTAGGATGTTTTTGTGTCCTTCAAACCAGCTCACAGCTTGTAACTTGCTCGGCTGACATTGCTGCGAGCTGATTGGTTGTTGAAAGTTACCCGATGACATAGAAACAGTCACTTAAACTTCAAACTGAGTTGTAGGAAATGCCACCATTGCTCAGCTCAAACAGTTCGCTGCTCCTTTTACCTGCAGCTCTGCATGAACGGAGCCTGGGCCTGTTGAAGGTGGTAATGCTGTTTGTGTTGTGATGGCCATGTGGTCAAGTAGGTCAGATAAAGACGTTCCCTGCTTTTGTCTTGTGGGCGTGGGGAGAATTAACATGTAGGGGGATGGCTTTGGGACGCAGGAGCTCCCAGTCCAGCCTTCTTATGGGGGCGGATTAGACAAAAACCTAGATGGAGGGAGGTTCCCACTTGACCACCCTGGTGATGTTCTGGCTCTTGCAGCCCGTTGGTCTACTCTACACGGTTGAGTTGTGGGAGCGAATAAGGGGCCATGATGTTGTAGGGAAGCTAGTATCGGTATAGTCACAACCTGGTTAGCCCACATAAACATAGCCTGGGTCTGTTGAAGGTGGCAACACTGTTTGGGTTGACTTCTTTGTAAGTAAATGATCGTGATCACTCTTTACATCAAAGTGAAAGCATTTATAAGTGTCCTTGATGGCGACCTACTTTAACTCATTTTCAGAACAACAATGCTAACCCTCGTCTCTCTCTCTCTCTCTCCATCACAGGGAAACAAGAAGCTGTGCCCGCAGTGCAACACCATCACCTCACCTGGAGACCTGAGGCGTGTCTACTTGTAAAGAGCACACCCCCACCCTGCCCCTCCCGACCTGCGCCGCCTCGTCCTGCCAGTCCATTCCCCCCTTCTCATTTTGGAGTTCACCGCCCTCCATGTCGATTGTCATGTTTTCTCCTCTGTCCCGGGCCAGGCTCAGCAGCTCCAAACCACCCCTCCAAGAGCGCACAGAGACGAGACAGCCGTCTTTAAGACTCATCAGACTCTTTCAGGAGGTTCAAACTGAGAGCTGACTGCCTGGCCACCAACACAAAAAAAAAGAAGAAAGAAATGACAGAGACTTGAAACCTCACAGATGGACAGGCTTTTTTCCCTGCCTCGCTGACATCACCTCCTGTACATGTAACATGGGATGTGCACTGAAGGACCTTTATTCAGTGGAGATCCCCGACACCCAGCTCTAAGCCCTGCAGAGATCTTCATGCAGCCGGGGCTGGAAGGAACTTCCTAATACAGAATATAAAGACTACTTTTCCCCACTCTAGCTCTTCTTCGACATTTAATTGGTGCTGAAGCTTCTTTCTTTTTTTTCTTATTCGTTCCTTTTTTCCGAAGTGAAAACGTATCTTCACGGCCCTGTTGAAAGGAGAATTAAAAAAAAAAAAAAAAAAAAGGGTCTGCCCACTAAAACTGAGCTTTCAACCAAACTGAGAATAACCTCACAACCTTGAAAAGGAGTGTGACACTCCTCCTCTCCTCCTCCTCCCTTTGTTCCCTCTTTTTGTGGTGTAATAGTGAAGTAAACCAAAATTTTCCCTCCTTCAAGATGCAGTGCAAGCACATGTAATATAGTTCTATGTATGTTTACAATGTTGGGTGTAAATGACATAGAGTCCACACACACACACACACACGTACACACACTGCAGACACACACAGAAGTATATGATATCAAAGTACCTGTTTTTAGTTGGAAGGGTTTGGGAATGATGTTTTGGGGGAAAAAATGGCTGAAATAAAAAGAAGCCTTCTGTATTTTTAAAAAGAAGAAAAATGTTTGAAGGTCCGTTGAAGTTTTATTTCACTGTACAGGAATAAAAAAATCTAAATAATAATAAACTACTCAAGACTAGATGGTCAAGATTTAGGTGGTGTAATTTTTCTGCAGAGTACTGTGGGGGAAAAAAACAAGGAAAGACTTTTTTCTTACTTTGAAATGGTGAGTTTCTAATTCTGCAAACCAGCAGAATGATGCTCTTTTAGTTGCAACACTGTCCAACTGAGCCTTTTCTTTTGAACCTCCACCTCTGCTTCCACTCATCTGGAGTAACGTCAAGCTCAGATCATAGTCTAGAGGTGTTTTCTTTTACCCCGACATGTCTCAAAAAGAAAGCTTTTTTTTCCCATTGGTCCATCAAGTTGCTATGCTGCAAAAACATCCTCAAAATGGCAACCGTGAAGGGCAGCTTCTTTTTTAGCTAAAACAAAAATTGGAAGTCTCTTAAGAAAAACAAAGGATGGCCGAGGCTGAACTGGAAACCACCAGAACCTGCAGCATCCCCCCCCTCCCCCAACCCACCCCCTACTTCCCCTTTACGACAGCAGCAGCAGCAGCAACACAGGTGGTGGTGTGCTTTGTGTTTGTAAAACTATGTATTCTGTGACGTCTGTATTGTTGTAAGAAATGCTGAAAAAAAAAGAAAAAATAAAACTTCTCAAATACCACAAGTGCTTCTTTCACACACCCGGAGGGGGCAATGACAAAGAAATGTTGTCCTGTTCACCCAAGACAAAGATGGTCTTGAGGCGAAGAACAGGGATTCAGTGAATGAGATTTTTCTTTTTTTATTAGACTTTGTAGCCAGACTTGATTGTCTCCTTCCACCGTGATAGTATATGAAACAACTTCAAATGAACACTAGCATTTGCTTGATTCATTTGCATTAGGATTCCTTTTAACTGATGTTGAGTCAAACCTGTCACAGAATTCACATTCTGGGGAAATCTTAAAGTCATACTGTTAAATAATCTACAATTTTACGAACAAAAGTCTGATAAATATAAAGGAAAAATACAATATTTCCCTTTGAAATGTAGTAGAGTACAAGTATAGGGTAGTGGAATAATGAAACAATGTATTGTAAGTCTTTAGTACATTGATTAATAAACCTACTAACTTTGTTTGGGTTATTTGATTGTGTAAATATTAGACTGGAGGTTGGAGACTTCAAATCAAGGCAACTCCTGGACCCTGGTCTGTTCCTGTAGCATGGGGGTCCTGTGACACCCCACAGTCAATGAGGACTCATATTTTTGACTTAAGGTCTTCTCATAGATCTGACAGAAAACAGACTATGTTGGTGCTGCTTTAACAAGCTTCAGTTCTTTCCTTGATTGTATAACTATCATTAAAACCTCAATGGAGCTCATCTGCTCACTCCTGCAGGCTGAGATGAAGGCTTGTAGAAAAGTGGCTCCCAACCTTTTCATTTGGAGCACCCCAGGGCCCACATGAAAAAAGGAATACATCGCTGTCAAATATGTAATAGGAATTGTAATTGTTTCTCATAAGAACATAATTTAGAGGTGTGGCTAAGAAGCCTGATATTTCTGAGTGAGGATATATTTTATACACAGTTTTATCTTAAGCCTTTAAAGGCGGGGTTGGTGATTTTCTCCAGATACCCTTTTTAAGATTTTGGTTGAAATTGTCTTTAGGTCCTGACAGACATTAATAATTAATGTGCTCTGAAAAAGGAACAAAGAAAAACAGTCATCTGTATCAGTTGTAAGCCTGTAAAAACTTTGACCAATGTCTGCCACGAGGTACCAATCTGATGAACCAATCATGCCTCCCTGTCTCCCTGTTCGTTCCCAACCCCCCCCCCCCCCCGCACTAGCCCACACTCAAAGCTCATCAACGATGATAGAGTTTATTCTGAGTCTAAGTATTGTGATTAGTAAAATAGTGAAGGTTTAAAAAAAACACATGTATTATGATAAAGTTTAGTGTTTACTCACCGCTGAACGAGACATGAGACGACATAGTTTCTACACAATGCAAGCGATGAGCTGAGGTCGGCTTCTGGAGCAACGGCGCTCTTGTGCATGTAAGTGAGGGGGCGTGGCTTTTGAAGCAGCACAGTGGAGAGAGTTGGTGGGTGCAGACGCAGCACTGAGGGAATGCTACTTTCAAAATCCTGCTAGTTTTCATAAATTACCAAACCTGCGTTTAAATAAATGATCCAGCAAGTGTGTTAACATTTTAGTAAGCATATGCAAATCTTATTTTGACAACCTCAAAGCAGACAGACCCTCATGAGTGCTGTCAGATGTTAAAAACAGTTTTATTGCATGGGAGGAAGCCACAGCAGACAGAGGGAGTCTGACTGTTTTGCAGTCAGTTTAGGATGGCATGAAGCCTGCTGGTTCTGCTGATCCCAGACCACCATGTCTCATTTACATTCCTGCCCAAGAGGGTTCTGGGTGAATCCCTCACCGACACTACCGTCCTGTATAGTGTCGCTGTTAGGATAACCCTAACCCTTACCCTTACCCTTACCCTAACCCATGGAATCATTGAAGGATCATTGAAGGTTCCAATTAATTTAGGAAGACAGAAAAATGACTTTATTACACGTATCTGTTCAAAGTCACCAAATATATGATGATAAAGACATCGTACAGATAATCAAGTCATGTCTCAACAAAAGCTTCTCTTCCAGCTGTTGTTCTCTCTGTACGCTAAAGGTTTTTAATACAAATTTAAAGCCAACCTGAGGCATCATGATGACATCATAAATAGTGGCCCACAGCTAATTTTTTTCCCAGGCTTTTCTGACAGGTGAATCTCGCTCTAAATATTTTGGTTAGAACCCCATAAAAACATAAAGAAATCACTCAGTTTTTTATCACATTCTGACAAAAGCTCTGGTAGCTAATAGGGAAGATAATTAATGTTGGTTTGTAGTGATCGGGGGCCGCTCCCTTTATGTGCCAAAGTCAAATGTAGAAAACAGCATCGCCATCTAGAGGACTGTAACACACAATCACTGACCTCCAACTCCACACGGCACATTTCCTCAGTCAGCCGAGTGCCAGATGGTGTCAGCAAGCCTGGAGGAAAGGTGTGTATGTGTGTGTGCCTGCTGACTCTTGTTAAACAATGTTATAGGACCCAACTCTCTGCCAAACATCAGAGCTCATTTAGCAGCCAGCAGCAACATTAATTGGCAAGAATTAAAACAGTGTGCTCTCTCCTACCACTTTTTGATGCTCAGATCTGTGTCCAAGCCTTAAACAAAAGCAGTATGTAGCCGACCAAGGTGAGGCCTTATTAGGCCCAGCCCTGCCCAGTATGTGCTGCTGTAAGTGCTGTCAGATGCTAATAAAGTTGTTCTGAATTAAGAGGAAACCACACCATGAGATAAACTCTGTAGAAGTTTCTGGAGTAGGCTAGTCACTCAAGACACTGACATGTTCTGTAAGTGAATATTAAACACTTTGCAATGTTGTTGTCTGTGTTTGCCATGTGCCCAAATGCAAAAGAAACTTCTGAATACGTCCCCTGTTGATTCATGCTTTTTGTTTGCTCCATCAGCATGTTGTTATCTGTGGATGTTTGTCGATGATTTGGGTGTTGCTTGGTAGAAATGAGGGGGAGATTTGAATTGTTTGGTGGCTCAGTTAGAGTGCTAGTCAGCCTAACATGGTATTAGCTAGCATGTTGCCAAGTTAGTAATGTAGAAGTGTGCACGGTTTCTTTCTCAACTAAATTGATGAATATGACAAGCATTGTTGTGTTTGGTAGGTCAAGCAGTTTGCAAGTTATAGACAGTTTTCTGGTAAAAGAAAAAGGCTGATGCTTGTTTCAGAGGGCTGTTGGTAAAATGTTTGGTTTTTCTGGGACTCTTGAGCACAACCTTTAAAGGCATTCTTTATATCCCAGTTTGAAACGTACGGAGCCCCTGAAGTCCCAGAAAGTAAAACAAATAAATAAATAAATCTTACTTCTCGGGACATGCTCAGTAGAAAAGGAAGTGCCCCTCAAAATAACATTAGCAGTAGGCCATATAACATGCAGGGTCAAGCCAGCTGTGTAATGTAAAGGTATGGTTTGGGACCTGATAGAGGGTACAGATTTATGATGACACAGCCTGATATCCTACCTATGTCCCTCCAAATAAAATGTTAAAACATTGAACAAATGGGCTTCCAAATAAATGGTTTTAGCACTGTGGTTTTAAAGTTATGACTCTTCAGTCGAATCTTCAGAAAACCAAAAGTAATGAAACAAATTTCACAAATTTAAATGAAGTCCTCCTCATCATGAATTCACACCTTTGGATTTAAAGCAGTGGTCAGCTTTCATTGACCCGTACATAGGCTAAATGTTTTCTAAGTCTTATACCTGCATTTAAAAAAACTCTGCCTCTAGTGCCCCCAAGTGGTTAAAAACCACAGATTTAAGGTTGTTCCAAAGGATTGTGATTCTTCTACAAAGAAAAACATATACCGTGTGTGTGTGTGTGTGTGTGTGTGTGTGTGTGTGTATGTGTGTGTGTGTGTGTGTGTGTGTGTGTGTGTGTGTGTGTGTGTGTGTGTGTGTGTGTGTGTGTGTGTGTGTGTGTGTGTGTCCTGTTGGCTTCTTACGAACACACACACACACACACAGTCTGATCAATATAATATGGCTCTCCCTGGCCGGTCCTCCTTCCTGCAGCACTCATAGACACCCGTATATTTATAATGCACATACACCGACTCATTAATACACACTCACAGTTTGCAACAAACGGCTTATTGATTTAAACACTGACTTACTTGAGGCAGAAAGAAGAAGATGGTGATATTGACCAGTTCAACTTGTGTGTGTGTGTGTGTGTGTGTGGCTTCACGTTGGGTGCCAGAGGTACTAGGAAATCTATTGAGGAGGCGCCTGCAGAAAGAGGAAGGAAATTGAACCAGTTAACAGAAGAACCCCCTGAAGGCTGGTTCAATGCCATTAAGGCCATTTAAGACATCAACCAGCTCCACCCAAAACCACCAGCAGAGCTGCCATGGTGTTTGTGTTCTTTACTCCTTACTAATTCTGTTTGATGAGTGGCTTGATTTTAAAAAAGCAGGTACATT